CGCATCCAATAACTATATATTATGTTAATGCATCAAAAAGGAAACCTTGATGATCAAAAACGTAACTTTTGTATTAGTTAAGACATAAAAATTGTGTCCGGAGCGTAGCGACGGACAATTACCATTTACAGCTATTAATGAAAAAAATTATTACGTATACTGTATAATGTTGTAAGTGGGAACGGATTTGGAATTTTTTAGTAAATTAGTACGTACGTATTTCGGGTGAAGTTTATTTTATATAAACCATGTACCCTAAAATTTCAAATCCATTTACGTTTATCCCGTTCCCACATGTATCGGTATATATGTTGTAAATGGGAATGGAACGATAATAGGGTTCGGAATCCGCTTATATTAGAACGAAATCATTATACTAAAAATCCCAACCCTAACCTTAAAAATTCCGAATCAACTTAAATTCTATTCCCACCTACGACATATATATATTCAATATAATAAGGGGTCTTAGAATTAACGTGCGAGAATCTAATTTTGACAGAAATATATAACGTATTTATTTCCAAATGAGCATCGACTTTATTTCATTTCCGATAAATTTGTAATAATGATTTTTGTCGTTAAAAAAGTTTATTTTCGTTAAATTGGAGTCTAAACACTCCCATTTCATTTTCCGATTTCAAAATTTTTAAACTCCCACTTATTATTTCCGAAAGACGCTATTTTATTAATTCTGAAACCATTCAATACATATAATATGGGCTAGGTGCTAAAAAAAACCAAATTGACAATTTTTTTTGACCAACATTTTTACTTAATGTTATCTTAACAAGATTTTGCAAAATAACTCTAAAGTTGTATTTTCTTAATTTATTATAAAATTTATAATATAAACATCAATTTTCCGCAAACTTTTTTTTCGTTCTTTTCTCATGTACCCAGCCCACATATATATATATATAAATATATACATATAATCTAGAAGACACTATAAAAGTCACACCTCTACATGATTATTTCTATATCCAAAAATAAATCCTAAATATTATTCATACATTTAAATTAGATTAATTATGAATAAGACTTCAGCCAAACAAAAACTTTGAAAAAATCTAAAATTTAAGCAAATTTATACTTTTGACCGGTACATTTATATTGCTTCATTCAGCCAGGTTTAATTAGACCATCATTGCTGAAACAAGGAGCGAAAGTAAATAACAATATACATACTACCGCTAAAAATATTCATGGATACATGCGAATTTGACAATTCAGAATTATCGCTTTAAAAATTATTCGCTTTAAAAATTATTAATGTAAAAAAAAAAAAAAAACATCCATTGTTCGATCTTAAGATTCGACTTTTAAGTGACATGAACAACCTCGTCCTTATTATGATCACAAGAAACATCATTTTTATCTGTTTCACCAGCATTTTCAGCAAGTTGGTGACCCTCATCAAAACGAGATAGTTCAATATCAGTTTCATAATCATTAGTTGTAGTTTCATAATTAGTTTGTTCTGGACTAGAACCACTAGAACCATTTACAGGAGGCGTACCAGAAACGACATTATGTGGTACGGTCATTGGATATCCAAAAAATTGTTGATCTAGACCAAACTCTGGTAATGGCATCATAGAAGGTAAAATGAATGGTGGTGGTAAGTGGCCATAAGCATTGATATATGCATCACGTTCTCCTGGCACGCATGGGGGACAGTGTTGATGGACATATGGTCCGGGAAGTATTGGGTGTGGCAATGTGGCTGGGTTTTCGTGTGGATCATCAACACCAATTGAATTATCATGTCCAAACCAAGCAACTGGTGGCACGTAAGGATAAACGAGACCTTCCGGCGTATTGATTAAAGGCGGAAAGTTTATATCTAACAAAAGTAATTAAAATCTTAATAATATGACATTTATATAATCGATTTATTAAATAATTCATTAAATACCATTAGGAATGTTGTTAAAACCTTGTGTGATTCCGCGTGGATGTATATTCATCGTTGACGGATCAAACGGTGCCTATAAAGTCGCATTAGAAGTTGACAAGTTCAAGAATCTTTAAACCAATTGTTATAATCGCAACATCTCACCATTGGATGGACCCTTGCATTAATAAACAAATAAATCGGTTAATTAATCTACTTAAATAAATAATGAATATTTGATTTATACATATACCCGTTTAAAACATTCATAGTTGCATAATGCATGTCAAAGCCAGAATTAGGTCCTTTATTTTTAATTGATGTTTTTCTGCCGTTACCTCGACGGTTAGAACTTGAAGGCCTATCAAAAGATTTAGTGCCAACTACAGTTCCAACATTTGATACAGATGTAGGACGCATATAGCGGTTACGATTCGATAATGGCTTATTAGCAGTATTTCCTGAGACACGTTCAACCGCAGCTTTAGATAAAGCCGGCGGTCTTAAAGACATTCGAACATTGTTCGATTTTTCAGAAGTACCATAGGAAGAAACAGCCTGCAACGCTCGTTGTCGAACTTCGAGCTGTTGGCGCAGTATTTGAATTTGATAATTACGATATTCAGGAGACTCACGATATTGAACACGAATTATTCTGTCAAGATATTTAGTATTGTTCTATTATGAAAAATAGAGTATTAATTTTTCCACATTTAAATTTATTCTAAATTCTTGAAACTCACCTCTGCTTCAATCGCCTTAGTTGAAGCATTTTCGTCATCGTAACGAATGAATGCAAAAGCTGAACGTACTCCAAAAAAAATAAAAACCATAATTGCATTAATTGAACAAATAAATTATCGCTAAAAATATTTAGAATAATAAATACCATTTACGCGACCAGCAGGACCAGGTTTCTTTATAGTAACAAGTCGAAGATCTTTGATTTCGCCATAACGGTTGAATTTTTGCTCAAGCACATCTTTAGTCACAGCTTCTGGATTAAGCTGTCCGACAAATATAGTACCTTTATCTATATCACCAGGTCCAGGTGTTGCTTTCTCAAGATTTGCTGCCCATTCAATGACGTATGATGAGGTCCGGCGCAAACTCTTTTTAACGATGTGAAAAAAGATACACGTAGTTTCCAATAGTTGAATTCATATGGATGAATAAACAATAAAAATGCGCGTACCATATATGCGCTGATGGCATCTTCGCGATAACAGAACTTCACGAACGCACATCCACGGCTTTGGCCTGTTCGAAAATCTTTTAAAATATGAATGTCTTCAGTAGCCCCATAAGGTGCGAGAAGTTTGGTGATATCCTAATTATGCAAATGAGTTAGTAATGAGTAAGCGCAATAATAAAAAATTCAGCTTAATTCAGTTTACATCTTCTTTCATATCACGACTAAAGCGGCCGATAAGCAATGTCCGATTAACTTTTGCTTTCTCAACACGAATGTGACGTCCATCGACGATTGAATTATGAGCTTCAGTCAGAGCTCGTTGAGCATCTTCAATACTCTAATTATCAAACGTGTAAATTATTAATTTAAAGCGCGTCGCGTATAAAGCAAATAAATCATGACAAAATTAACAATTAAAACCGATTGAAACCGATTAAAACCGATTAAAACCAAATAATTTCATACCTCAAACTGAACGAAAGAATAAGGCCGATTTAACCAATCGAACAAAACCTTAACATTAAGGAGCGTTCCCCATTTACGAAAATGGTCCGCAACAGCTTGTTGAAGCTCAATTTCCTTTTTATTAGTTGGTAGACTAAATATTGATCATAAATAAATTTTAAAATTGATTTCTAATTTTAAATTTAATATCCTGTCAAATACATGCCTTGCGACAAAAAGGCAACCCGCTGGCAGACCACGCTTATGTTGACCTTGAGATCCAGATTGAAGTGAAATTTCATCTTGATCGTTGCTGGTGAACGACTCTGATTGTTCTGAATTATAAGATACAGCCGTAGCGTCTTGTTTAACGGCAGTTTGTTCTTTTATTAGCGAATCTTCAATTTCTTCGGCGTTCGAGATTGACGCGACCGTATTGCGCTTGATTTGGTCTGACGTAGAAGTATTCGGTTGTTTTTGTGCAGGTAAAACTTCTGTTTGCTTCACGGTGTTCGCCGCCTTACAGTGAACTTTGTTTTCAATAGAATCGTTAGGAATTGCTGAATTGCCACGAAATTCATCGTTTTCGGCCACAATGAGAATTGACTCTGTCTCGGCAGTTTGATTTGCCGAATCCATTGGAATTTTTCCATCTCTGATGGCCAAGGAATTTTGACCAACCTTTTGATCTATCTCATCTATAGTAACGCCCTTATCTGAAAATCAATAGCAAATAAAATTGAATTTCAAAATCCCATGGTATACACACACCTGAATTGTTACGCTTCTTTTTGACTGGAACTCCATTTGTTTTTTGCTGTCTAACTGCCATCCCTTCTTCACTACTAATTGCGCCTTGGGTAGAGACTTCTAGTTCGTCATTAACTTCTTTATTGGTAGGGTTCGCTTCATTATGAATTATCGTTTTTTCGGCCGATGTCTTCATACGAGCCTTACGAACTGCTGAAATTTGAGTTTGAGGTGATTGATCCATTGCTGTTTACAAAGAAGCTCGGAGAAATGACTGAAATTTAACGAATTATGTAAGACCAGTTCAAAAGCAAGCTTCAGATAAAAAAAAATTGATTATGACGCGTTTTTTTTAAAAAAAACACGCTTCCAATTAGAAGATTGCTATTTTTAATACGTAAAAAGAATAACGTGTTCAGATATTTTTTTTTTTTCTTTTTATTAAGAAATACTTGCTTGTTAATAATGACAAGAGCTTTCCACAAATGCCTTCAGACCAAAAGGCATGAGAATACGAAGACGAGGTTGGATTATAAGAGAATTTTTCACTCCTTTTATCACAAACAACGTGGTACAAAAATGAATAACATTGAATAATTCTCAAAATGACATCATTCACTAATAGCTGATGCATATTTATTATATTCAGTCATCTTATTTGACTGTCATAAAAAAAAAAAAAAAAAAAAAAAATATTAGTCATATAATACTTCTAATTTGGGCAAGTTTTTGAGAACTCGGGATGGGTGCATTATATGTCGTAGTTCACATCTCATTTCATCTATTCTATTCCGGATCACGACTGCTTTTAATAACTAAGAAAATAAACACTTCCAATAACATAAGAAATCATTAAATTATTTCATAAACTAGAAAAATAGTAATAAATTTTATTAATGGCATTGGTTTACCTCTCGTTATAGTTACATGGAAAAAATTTTGTATAATACAGTACGAGATCATATAAGATATCCCATATTTTTTGAAGCTTTCATATATAAAGATTCAAAGAAACGCCAAATTAAGAGATCTATAACGATAATGTCAGGTTACAGTAAAAAATCACACGATAGTTAATTTTGATTTTGATTTCACGTGATTAAATAATAGTTTATTTTTATTGAAAATAGGCGCCAAATTCTTTGGGACTTTGCACATATGTACGTACGTACGTAAATTATATATATATAATGCATGTTATCTTGCGTAATAGCGGATTTGCAAATTTTTGTTTCTTAAAAATATTAACAACTGTATAAATAAACAATATTTGAAGCACTACTTGTTAAAAATACAGTACCGGCCAGCAAAAAAAAAAAGCATCCAATATTATTTCAAAAACGGTAAATTTGAGAATTATGTAATCAATTCTGATTGGTTAATTTGTATATAGCCAATTCTGATTGGTCAAAAAATACATATAACCAATTTTTGGGCGCCGAATTTTTAATTCTATAACCTTTTAAACTAAAATAACAAATAACTTTTTAATCTAATAGAAAAAATAAAAATTTATTGTAGTTTAGATTAAAAGCAACAAATTTGCAAAATAAACTTTTTTTAGTTATTTGGTTTTTAAATTATAAATATTTTAGTTTATACGTAGTGTATCGTACATGGGTAGGTATTAATTTTCAAAATAATTCGTATAAAACAAAAATTGGCATCGTTTAAGGTTAGGGTAAGGGTGGACTGGGGATAGTTCACACCAAAATTTGGCAAGAAGCTTTTTTTATTAATACCCGAAAGGTGGTTTCATAAAGCAATTATTTTACGTTACACCTGATCGTGTAACCTGATTGGCTTTTTACCCGTGTATGTACACAGTGTACAAATAGAAATTTCAAATGTTTTTATATTTTATATATAAATAATAGAGAATTTCTATTTATACATGGGATGTATATGGGATCTTTGTATTAAAAGCATTGTTATACAAGATTTTTATTAAGAAAAATATAGTAAATCTATTTTTAGAAAAATTTTATAAAAAAGATTTTATATCTTAAAATTTTAATTATATAACTATCTTTGCTTTTAACAAAAAAATTCTTTGTGAAATTTTTAATATAAAATATATTCTGTTTAATTTTAAATCTACTATTATTCTAACTATAAGTAAGAGTTTAATTTTTTATTTATAAAAATTGTTTTAATTAGCATATTACAAGAATTTGTAATTTAATAAATTATACTATATTTATATTATACTGTATTATTATAACTAAAAAATTCAAGTTCTTAATAAATTAGAAGCTTAGAAAATCACCAAAGCTAGTTAAATCTGGCTTATTAAGTTAGATATGTTATCTATTTGGTTAAATAAATAGTAATTATAAATAAAAATTATTGTAATTTTTAAAAATAGTTTTAGTTTCAAATAATAACAAAATATAGTTAAATTAAGATAGCTACATGTATGAAGCAAAAGAGGCTAACCTTGACTACAAAAAAAAATAGCTACATATTGTACAGAATAATAGAAGATATTTAATTAATATATAGAAATTATATATACCACCAAAATAGGTTTTCAAAAAATCTTTATTTCATTTTTATTAGAGCAATTTGGAATTTTTTATATGCAATAGCAAATCTAATTTAGATAGTTATCACTGGTCAAAATCAAAAATAACATTCTTATATCTTCAAATAATCAGGCTAGATGATAGCAGACCAATAGAATGATGGCTTATAACAGATTTGATAGTAAAAAAACAAGCTGATAGTCTGAAGATTTTAGGAAAATATGTTGTATATTAGTTAATTTTATTAACAAATTATTCAAATATTATTATGATAATTAGTACATTATTTAAAAGATATATAGATAATTTTATTAAGATTTTTTAAAGGTAGTTTAGTAATTAGGTTAATTGTTAGTTGATATTTTACAGATAATTAATAAATAATTTTTATCTAGATTATATAATATTATACCAATATAATAAATATATTTTGCATGATATCTAATGATAATTATAAAATTAAAATATCAGTATAAACAAAAAAGTTATTCCATCAACTCTTTCCGACGATCATCTGGTCAAGGCACATATACCATTTGTGTTGTCATATAGTTCGTACATGGTTGCTTAATCTGGATGTCTGCCCGATATCCCATTATGGAAGTCTTATCTATTTCTAGACAGGTAAACAATACCGACTTGTTTTGAAAAATTACGTGTCGATCTTTTGGAGGGGGTAAGCTGAAACGCCTAC